CTCTGTTAGTTTGTTGTTAAATTTTAGCTAATGATCTGATCATTTTTGTGAGCATGTATTTTGGCATGTTTGCATTGTCAACAGGCATACTAATTTGATCTTTAATTAAATAATAACTTTCAATAAAATATAAATTTGGTATTTTAACCTATTTTTGATACTTCCATTACCTTATGCTATTATATTTTCCTTAAATTCTTAGAAGGAGATGAAGTTCAAGGTTGCTTTCTCACTTAACAGAGCTCTTTTCCAAACACCCGCATATATAGTATCTAAATGTATGTTTTCAAAACACATACATATAAAGTATCTAAATGGCTTGCTTTCTGGGATTTCTTGGCTTTGTTTTCTTCTTTCCCTTTTATTTGAAGCATCTCTTTTCTTTGCCTCTGCTCTCCTTGCCCCAATCAACTTAAGTTCTTTATTTCGGTGTTATATCTTAATGTGGAGCTCTGTTCTAGAAAGAAATTTTAGTTGGTCAAATTGAAAGTTCATGGGTTCTAGACTGGACTTGCCTTATACAACCCTTTGTACCCATATTCTCTTGAGGTAGAAAACACATTTTTTAAATAGTGATATCATGCCATTCCATGAGTGTTTCATGGCTACCCACGGTTATTCTCAGTTACTGACTCAAGTTCCCTGCACCAATACTAAGAAATGCATGTCAGGAATTGATTCTCAGTGACTTGCATTTTTTAATTTATAGAAATACCTTTTATGCAGTTTTGTTCTCAATAGGAAGATTTTCATTTGGGTCCTTTCCACCCCCTTGCTTGATTTTAAGTGAGAATTTAGAGAGATTGAATACCTATGCCACTGTAAGCACCATTTTACATATATATGTATTATTTTGGACCCCTGGTGGTACTGCTTGGATAAGTGTTGGACTCCTAGCTGCAAGGTTGGAGGTTCATATCCAGCAGCCTTTTGAGGAAGGAAAATGAGACTATGCTCCTGCAAAGATTTACAGCCTCTAAAAACTTACATAGTTGAGTTTGAACTGACTCACTGGGTTTTCCATTTTTTAAAATATATATTATTTTTATCAATGAACAGATATTTATTGAAAGGCTCATGGTAAGACTTATTATAGACATTGGGGATAGAGCTGTAAACCAAACAGAATTTCTGTCCTTATAGAACTTGCACATTAATGAAAGATGACAGGCTTTGTCCTTTTTACTAGTAATAGACACACACGTACAGAGGTAGGACTTGTGCTGTCTGTGTGGAGATCTGGGATTAAATCAGAGCCAGGGAATGATTTCCAGTCACACATGTTGCCACCACCCTAAGGTCACTGTAGGACAGGTTTTTGGAGGGTTTCTAATGTGAGACCAATTAAGAAGAAAATCGTGATGCTCTACTTCTGAAAAAGCACCCCTGTGTGGATCACCATGTCATATATGTAACAAATATTGAGGATGACACCAGGCTTCGTAGCATTTCATTTTATTTCACTGACCATGGGGCCACCATGATTCTCCTACAAACTGACAACAACATCGATAGATACATCCATAGGTAGATAGATCATTAGAATCATACTTTATACATTGAAAATATTGTTCTCATACCTTGCTTTATTTTATTATAACACAAATCTGATGGGTTAACAGGCAGGGAGGTTTTGTTCCTTATGTAGCAGGAAACAAGATTCACATTCAACAAATATAAGTGACATCTAGAGCACTTCAGAGCCTGGGAAAAGTTGCTCCTCTGTTAATTAATATTCTACTTGTGTGTTTTCTCATTATGTATCACACAACAAATCCTGTGCTGAGGTCTGGGATGATACATTTTTAGCCTAGGGAATTAGCATTCAATGAGAGATAATAAGATGTATCCCTAATCATGTGAAGGATGTGGAGAGAGACCTAATTAAAGTTCTGTAGGAGTTTAGGAAGAATAAGAGAGGAAACAGTTCTGCTGGAGAAACGTTGGTGAAGGAGTTGGTGTTTGAGTGGTCTTTGAAAGAAGAGATTTTAATTGGAATGAGCCACATGAACAAAGACATATGGAAATGTGGTGAATGCAATTGGAAGATGGGGAGAGCTCACTTATTGCTCATTGAATTCCTCATATGCTCCTAATTCAACAAATTCTTCTCTCTTCTATTAAATCATTTTGGGGGGAGGCTGTACAACTTCACAATCTATCCATACATCCATTGTGCCAAGCACATTTGTACATTTCTTGCCATCATCATTCTCGAAACATTTGCTTTCTACTTGAGCCCTTGGTATCAGCTCCTCATTCTCGAAACATTTGCTTTCTACTTGAGCCCTTGGTATCAGCTC